GAAGAGAAACGAGACTCTCGAAGGCCTCTCCAAAGAAGATCGTAAAAATCTCTTTGATAAATATTCAACTCCCAAGAACCATGTTCTGTATCAACCTCCAGCGCTTAACAAAGAGGTAAAGAAATTTCCAACAAAGATTCGTGATAAACGACTTGTAGAAAAACAGAAAAAAGCGACAGTCTGCTCGGCAGCAGTTGGCTCTATCCTCTCAAAACTATTGGTGAATAACACAGTGGCGACGATCGATTTGATTACACTCTTCAGTGATGTTTCACGTATCCTGGTAGATTTACAAAGAGATGAGACATTCACCAGACGTCTCATAATCATGCCAAATTTGAACTAACCTCTGAAAGATACCTTACCCTCCACAATACCTGACGAATTGCTGTTTGGAGACAACTTCTCAGAAATGCTGAAATTAGCAAAAACTCTAGATAAAACACTGGAGGAGTTAAAACCATCCCCAGTGAACACATATCTGTGACCAAGAAAAGGCCGCCAAAAGACGCGAAAGGCCCCTCTCGCCCCAAGTTTCAGACACCAGCAGCAACGGGGCATCGAAAGCCATTCTCGTCGTCGACGCAGAAACCGAAATTTAATCGCCACAAACCGACATCGAGGATGAGACACAGCTCGCCCAAGAGAAGACGTTAATACCCTCTGTAAGAACTCTGACAGGTCGTCTCAAAATGTTCCGACCCGCCTGGCACAAGCTTGCACCTGGTAATAATATACTTGAGTCGGTCAATGGGTATTCCATCCCATTCTTTACCAACCCAGCCCAGCTAAGAGCCCCAACAGAACCAAAATGGACATCTCAAGAGAAAATTTTCATGGCTAATGAGAATGAAGTATCACTCCAAAAAGTGCGATCAAAGCATGCGCTGAGTCTAAGGATAAGTTTATATCGAGTGTCTTTCTCACACCTAAGCCTGATACTTCACAACGATTTATTCTAAATTTTAAGAAATTAAATAAATTTGTCAAAAATCAACACTTTGAATTGGAGGATATCCGTACTGCTAGAGATTTAATGCGACCAAACTGTTTTATGGTCACTCTGGACCTTAAAGACGCATATTACGCTCTTCTAAAGTTCGGCAAAGAAATTTTCGAGACTTCAATTTGACGGTCAATTATATGAGTTTCAATGAATCCCGTTCGGGTTATATACTGCACCGTACGTATTTACCAAACTGATGAAATCAGTAGTAACTTTTCTCAGGGAACAAGGCTTCTCCTCAGTCATCTACCTGAATGACTTACATCTATTTGGCGATTCAGTACAAGAGTACCAAAAAAATGTCAGGCAGACAGGTCGCATCTTAGAAAAATTAGATTTCTTAATTAATGAAAAGAAAAGCAAACTGAACCCAGACACAAGACAAAAATATCTACGGTTCATTCTTAACTCAGAGGAAATGAAGGTCGAACTTGCTCGAGGGAAAGCACCTAAAATCCTAACACTCGTGAAACAATAAAAAAAATAACTCCTCATACAAAATCCGAGACTTTGGATCTCTTCTAGGAATACTTACTTCCTGCTGGTTGGGTGCCAAGTATGGACGGATCTACGTAAAGGACCGTGATAGGGAGAGATTTCTCACATTTGAAAAATGCAACGGAAATTTTGCAGCACAGGTGATATGAATCACCTATCATGTAGAAGAAAATGTAAAATGGTGGCATAAGAACATCTCTAACGTTTACAACCCGATTAATTGCCTCAAGTTTGTAGCCGAAATATTCTCGGATGCTTCTTTGTCTGGGTGGGGGACTAGTTGCAACAATAATACAACTCACGGATTTGGGAATGCAATGGAGCGGAAACAGCATATTAATTACCTAGAGCTCAAAGCAGCGTCTCTTGCGTTAAAGTGTTCCGCACAAGACGCTAAAAACTGTGATTTATTACTTCGGATTGACAATACAGCGACCATCGCGTATATCAATCGAATGGGTGGGGTACAAGAAATGATAGAGATCAGCATTGCAGCACTCTCAACTACTTCTCTCCACCAATTCAATTCAGCCTTAAATAAATGGTGGGATTTCTGCCATCTCACAGACACTTCCGTCTTCCCTGCTACCATAGCAGACGTACTGAGATTTCTCACAAGTGAGTTTTGGAAAGGAGCAGCCTATACCCCGATCAACACCTTGAGATCCGTCGGTGCCCTCATCGTGGGTTCTTCGATTGGAGAAGATTCTACGATCCGTAGATTCTGTAAAGGTACTTAACCCGAGACAACCTGGAACCAGAAGATTGTCCTTAATCATGTCACCCAATAGAACCCCAATGATAAAATCTCCTAGGAGTTATTATCACAGAAAGTTGTAGTACTGGTACTAATAATAAAAGCTCACTGAATACCGATGCTGACTGCCATTGATATATGAAACATCACAACACTGAGTGACCGTGTGGAAATCAAAATTCCTACCTGGCTGAAAACATCAGGCCCAAACAAATATCAACCAAACCTCACTATTCCATTTTTCCCAGACGACTCAAGTATCTGCATTTCATCAGTCCTCAATGCATACATTAAACGGACTGCGCAGTTACGTGGGGAGACCACCACTGTGACGTGGCAACTGCGTTTTCCCCCCCTTTTACTATTCTTTTCCGCGATATTCTCCTCCTGGAAAATCTCGTTGCCACGGTCCTGTGGACCTCAGTCACTACAAGGTGGAAATTCCACTGGAGGTGTCTTTTGACACTGAATAGTTATGCCTTTAACTTTCAGTAATTTCAATGATCCATTCTCACTAAATCCATAATTTATCCGGGCCAATAATACTGCTATTTATTACTAAACTTAATTCGTGAGGGTCAATCTACTAAATAATTTCTCCCAACTTAGTAAGTAACTCTATCTCATTTATTTAACAAAGCTTTATACTGTGCGGGTTTATTAAGTATGGTAATATTCAACTCCGGGATATAATCAACAAAGAAATAATATGTTTTGCTCTCAAAGAAAATGACTAAAGTAAAGTATACAGAGTTTGTGAATTCAGAGCGTCCCCTGATTCACCCCGCGTCCATTCAATTCCAGGAATTGCCAAATTGGTAGTTTCCCAATTATGTAAAGATAATAAACAAGTTAATTGCGGTATTCAAAAATATTCTTCGTATTTTTCTCCCCGTGATTTCCCCTACTATCTGGGATATCCGATCACGTTCTCCTACTGAGGATTGCTCAGATAATTGCAAGTGAAATTAAATTGAATTTAATTTCCCCAAAATGCCTCAATTGGCGAAAATGGCGACGTTGGGAACGCCAACAATGTTCTGGGTTTTCTTCGGGTTCCCCCCCCCCCCCCCCCAAAATATTTGACCAAAATACTAATTAACGTCCGGGAAAAATAGTCAACGATAACGCCTTTGGTTCTCCGTAGAGAGATTCCCTTTTATTGCTGTGGATTGTCCACAATATTGTTCAAGATATGAAGCTTCTGCCACTGTGTAATTAGCAATGTACTTACAGTGGGAAGCTTTTTTCACAAATCAACTCCGCTACTTCAGCTCACAATTTTCCGGGCTCCTTATTTTCTCCGGCTGGAAACCACCCCTCAACTCGTAGGTTGAGGCCTGATTGGTCTTATTGACACTGATTCTATCCTTACAAACTAATTTCTTAACTTATATGTTAACTTATTAATTATGGGGTGTTTTAGCGTCGCTAGTTTGTGTCCGAGTGATGATCTTTTTTCCTTCTTCCTCAGTTCGGGTTAGTGTCCTTCTTCCTGGATTTCCCGACCAATTACGATGATCTTCTCAATCCTTCCCCCAATAGGAAATTCGTTCCTATCTTCTCTGGGTTAATGGGGGTCACGGTCAACTTGCACGCTCTATTGGCCGCCGTGGAAGCTTATCATAAATCGATGGCGAGGTCGATAATTCCCTTATCGACCTCACCTTGAACCCAACCCCAACTTACTCTAGTCCGGACAACATAACCCCACCTGTCAATGCAGTGGGTTCCGGGTATATTTTCCCCAACCGCGAGGCAAAGGAGTAGTACAGGTATGCTCTCCTCACACTACTCATCTCTCAGTACTAATTTAAGTGACCTTCGTCACACCACTTAGTTGTTTATTTCATGGAAAAACCCCCACAAAGAAATAACATCGCGAACGCTGAGCCGGTGGGGGAAAAATGCCTTAGAGAAGAGCGGTGTGAACACAACTATTTTCATGGCACATAGCCCGCATCATGCGGCTACATCAACAGCAAAGGAAAACAACATTAGCATAGACCTGATCAGAAAAATAGCTGGCTGGACTGACTTGTTCAAAACCTTTGCCAACTTCCACAATCGCCCAATTGTAGAGAATCGTAACAGGTTTTCTAAAACTATTCTCAAACGTAAAAAATAAAATAAATATATAAATAAATGAATGAATAGAAAGTCGAATCTTCTATACAGTTAAACACAGTGGATAAAACTGCTGTCGTACTTCTTTAAACATCTACATATATGGTGATCTCGGAAAAGACACGCAGTATAATTGAACGATTAAACGAACTGACCTAGTGAAGTTCTTTGGTAATTGTACGAAGCGTCTCCTCAAAAATTGATTTTGCCCCTTGTGGTGTACGCCAAATCTTTGAAGAAATGAGGAATTCGGAGCTGGTCGAGAGACGGCGACCCGCGGAACGGTATGAATCGAAAAGTGTTCGATTTTGCTTTGAACCTTGTGGTTGCAATAACGAGCAGGCTAGGTACTACATTTGGTGATTTTCGGAGGAGACGCTTCATACAATTACGATAGAACTTCACTAGGTAAGTTCGTTTAATCTTTCAATTATATATCTATTAACCTTATGCCGCATGATGGTAAGCGTTTCTGGCTTGCAGAAGATTTGACCAAGAAGATCTTTTTGAGCAAATCTTCCACTACTGTATAAATATTTTTAAATAATGCCAAACGGCAAAAATATTTACATAAAGCAATTTTGGAATTTATACAAATGCGATCATTTTCAGCTTCGTAACTTTGATAAGGATCACATAACAGATGCAACCCTAAAAAGAATAGGGAAATATACGTCCAATCCTGAGTTTGATCCTGAAAAAGTTGGGCAGGTGTCAATCGCAGCGAAATCCCTGGCGATGTGGGTTGTCGCCATGGAAAATTATGGAAAACTTTACAGGTAAATTGATGTGAATAAAATACATTTTGTAGTCTTCAATGAGAATTCTAGTGAAAAAGTTCTAACCGGGTCACGGATTAAATTACCTGAATGGATAGAACTTGGAATTGCAGAGATACCTAATCATATTCATCCATAAACATGTTAAGATTATATCCACAGTTATTTAGTTCCGAATTCCAGAAGAAAATATCACTTATTGTAGCTCGCCATCAACTTGACTTATCACATCGACCTGCACATACAATCAAATAATCCAATTTTTCTCATTCTCTCAAATAATTTTCGATCATATTACTACAGAATCATAGCACCAAAAAGAGAAAAGCTAGCCTCTGCACTGGAATCTTTACATGAAAAAGAAAATGCCCTAGCCACTGCTGTAGCACAGTTGACAACATTACAAGAAGAATTGAAGAGACTTCAAACAAACTATGATGAAAAAATGAATGAAAAAGAATATCTAATTAGACTGGTATTGATCATTCCTACCAATCTATAGATTAGTCGATAGCATATGATACTGATGGACACCGCCTTTAGAGCAGGCCTGGGCAAAGTGAGCTCTCCGAGCTCACCGAGCGCCCAGCCCCAATTAGGCCAATGGACAAAAAAAGGGGGTCTTGTTTTATTATATGGTGCAGGTAATTGGTGTGGCAACACCCTATGCTTCGGTCAGAATGGAGTATCGTTATGTCAGTCAACGCATAAAAATGTGAATTTTTGAAAGAAAAAAATGCCTATTTTTTAAAATGTCTTTTGCATTATTAAAAAATGTCAATTGTTCACGTTTTTCTATATCAATTTCCGCCGAAAATTATGTTTAATAGCTCACTGCAATTTGAATATTCCGGCCGCAAATGCATTCAAAAATTATCACAGATAAAATAATTTAATAAAAATTCGTAGTTCTTCATTTTACTGAAATCTTATTAGATTCCTATGGAAATTCCAGGATTATTTGAGCGACAATCACTTGCGATTTATTCCAATATGAGTACTGAAAGAATATATAAATTCGTGCGAAAAATTAGCTCACAAGAAGTTGTTCATACAAATCATTTGAAGGAAATTTTCTTGCAGAATTTTCATGGTAAAATCGTGTTAAGTTGTCTTCTTTGGCTCAAATATTGGCAAAATATGGGAAATTTATGTGTAAAATAAGTTAAATTGTAAGGAAAAATCCAATTCCTTGCAAATCCAGTGCTCTCTGTTGAATATTTCTATTGAAAAAAACTAAGACATTTCAAATCATGGGCTGGTAAACTTACGTGCCTAAAGTTTCCATGAATTTTAACGGGAGAATTTTAAGAATAATATAAGCTGTGGACAAGTTTTTATGTATATAAAATTGTGAGATGTCAACTTCATACGTTGAAATGCTGACTAGTATCGTTTGTCATAGTCCTCATTTTTACATCAAAGAAAGAACTTTACATAGCGTTCCACAGTTTTGTGACGTCACATCGCTGAGATCACATCATTGAGAGAAGGAAATGCTTCCGAAAATTAATAATTACTGTTAGCAATCTAATCGGTAACGGTCAATGAGTTTGCGGTTAGAATTTGTTTTATATTATCAAAAAATTTTTTTCATTGAGTGTTTTCTTGACGGAATACGCCTACCACCGTCCCGTGGTTTCCATTGAGCAGCTATGTAAAATTCTGGCCAAGAGTGCGCAAAACTGATAGACTCAACTTTAAAATAATAATTAATTGATTAAATTTTAAAGAACTGACATCCCATATTTTTTTCAATTTTTAAGCAAATAATTATTCAATATTAAGGTGACAATGAAATAATCAGTTTCTAGCACCATGATGTTATAACACTTACCTCTGGGACAACTAAGAATTTTGTAAGTTGAATTGGTGAAAACTTATTTTAACTTTGAGAGGTAAGGTTTTTTAAATTTTTCTGATATCACCAGTCGGACCATGTTGGGACTCACACAATTAGGGTATTGTATTCCGAATAATGGGCCTAATAGAGTTTTATGGTCGAGGTTCCCGAAGTTCCAACTTTGCCCATGCCTGCGTTAGGGGGGTCTATTCACTCCAAATTTCTCCCATTGAATGAAGTAAATTTTTTCCGTATTTTCTGAATAACAGGCTGAGGAACTTACATTGAAATTGAAGCGGGCTGCAATGCTGGTGGAGGGCTTATCCGGGGAACGTATACGTTGGGAGAAAACTCTCGAAATTCTTTCCCAACTTTATGAACGTTTACATGGCGACTGCCTTATATGTAGTGGTTACCTATCCTATTTTGGTCCATTTACATCTATTTATCGGAATGAAATGATCAAGATTTGGGTAAATGAGGTAAGGAAGCAATTTTCCGAACATGGCGACATATATTTATAGTTGAAATGATAGTACAACAATTGCAATAATGAAGTCTCCAGTATTTGATCACTTTTATTTTTCTATCGTTCATAAACTGAAGATAAAGGTTTTCTGTAAACTTTTGCTTTTCGCCAATCAAAAATAACATGAGTGTTTCTTTTCTATGATCCTCTCTTATATCACGAATAAATCCGATAAAGTAGAAATGTTAGCTATACTCAAAGTCAAACATTCCCCTCTTTAACCCTCATTCCTATGCTACATGAATATCCTTTGAATTCACGAAGGTTACAACGACCGGAATCCCCTTCTCAGATAATTTTGACATTGCCGCATTTCTGAGTGACTCGACAACAATTAGGGAGTGGAATATTCAGGGTTTGCCTTCCGACAGTTTCAGTACAGAAAATGGAATTATTATAAGTCTTGCCATACGATGGCCTCTCATTATTGATCCACAGTGCCAAGCTGTTAAGTGGATCAAAAATATGGAATTTGGAAATGTGAGTTAGCTATACACTGCGCAATGCTTGAATCATAAAATTGGAGTATTTCTTTCCTGAGCTCATTAAGAAAATTAACCATTTTTTAATCGGTATTTCAAGGGGCTCCAAGTTATAGATTTCGGCTCCCTCGACTTTGTGGCAACGCTTGAACGATCACTACTTTTGGGAACGCCCGTACTTCTAGAAAATGTTGGTGAAACCCTCGATCCGGTGTTGAATCCAATTTTGCACAAATCGTTAGTTAAATTAGGTTGGTATACTAAATTAAAACTTTATGCTACCACGACTAGGATTTTTTTATGATATTAAATTCAATTGACCAGGTGATAGTTCCGTGATGAAATTTAATGATAAGATGATTGGTTATAATGATAAATTTCGTTTTTTCATCACGACGAAATTACCCAACCCGCACTATTCTCCAGAGATATCCACAAAGACGACGTTATGTAACTTTGCCATTAAGGAACAAGGTAAGACTAATGGATCCATCTATACTGGACTATAATGATTCCTATGACAGGAAGAGCATGTACTTTGGTATTTCCCAGGTTTGGAAGCCCTCCTCCTTGGTATCGTAGTTCGAAGAGAGAAACCGAATTTAGAAGAGCAGAAAGATACCTTGGTGCTTACAATTGCAAAAGGCAAAAGGACACTAAGAGAGCTTGAAGAGAAAATTCTTCAGTAACTTATACAGACACATTACTTGTGTTTTTAAAGTTTGTAATGTTGGTCCTTTTTGTTAGGATTTACAATGCCAGCACTTTTGAGACATTTTTCTCTCACATGTTTTTCTTACACTATGCTCGTAGTAGAAAGGACTGATAGTAATTCGAGTGAAAATTTTTTTTATTAAAATATATTTTTTAATTACGTCATGTCATGTCTTCTTGAAAATTAGACAAATTAGGCAAATCAAGTGGATAGTAGACCTTCTATAAAAGCTCGCCTTCTAAGTGTCTTTTCAGATAAAGAGGAAACAATCAATCTCACCCGTAGTTGAAACGCACAGATCGCAGAACAGAAATTTAGATAATTATTTACCACCAATCTCCCAACGGGTCAGAAATTTCACGAATATCCACCTCCTTTTTTGACTTTTTCTGCATGTGGGATTGGTTTAGTGAAGGTACTTCCGCAGCAATCAAATGACGGAAAAGAAATAGTTTTTAACCTCAAATTTTTGAGGGTATATTCTTTTTTCCATTATAAATGTTCCTTCTAGAACGATTGACAACGTCGATATCGGATGAAAAATAATTTTAGAAGTGTCATTAACACAAACCCTTATGGCACTCACTTTTTGGAAAATCAGAGGACTAATTCCGAGTAATTCCTGGCGTAAATGAAGATTTTGCTTTCGAATAGAAGCATTGCAATCGTTCGATTTTTAGACTGCCTAATTTTGCATGGAAATGACATAGAACGGTTTCAAACATAAAAATTACGTCATTAATTATGTTATTTCTTCGTATGAAAAACGAGTAGTTTTTTTTAATAATTCCTTTTTCTTAATTTTCTTTAATTAACATTTTCACTTCGATCAATTTTATTTCGTAAATAAATAATTGCAGGACCATTAAAATTTTGGAATTATGGAATTTGATCGTCACTCCTGAAATTGAAAACACTTTTTTTACATTTTATTTGTCATATCAGCTTCCAAAATAAATAAAAACGTAACGGAAAGGAAAATTTCCAATTTCTTGAAAGTTACCTTTTCTTGAGCGTTACCCCCACTTCAGTAGAGTTCAGCGGAGAAGAAGGGACTTTAAGACCTGGGTCATAAAGGCCCAACACTTCATACAATGGGCTCTCGTCTACCCTTTCTCATGTACTAGTAGAGGTCAGGAGCACGCCTTGTACTTAGAGCAGAGGTTACCCAGTTTTGATATAGAAAATCTTGAACGAATACTTCAGTCGTCTATATTACAGTATAAAACCTCACCCTAACACCAACTATGACTGACTTAAACACGATTAGTGAGTATACCACCGCGGTCCTCCTGCAGTTTTTCAAATTATATTCAATATTATTAACTCACTCGTGTCAACACGGAGAAAAAAGTTGGGGAATTTTTCTATGAGGATTCCAGGAATAATTCTGTTAGGCTAGATAAAATATATTAATATTTTCTAAAAGCTATAACTGAAATTTTCTATTATGTACGCTTGAAAAAAAATAGGACAGCACTCTTAGGAAGTTATTGCAGATATTTCCTCATTCCTCATGTGTTTTGAAAATTCATGGGAACCCCCCAACCAGGTTGACGTAGAAAAATATACCGCTTTTCGATTTTTTTATTAGTTAACGATTCACAAATTCGCGTAGTCGTATATTTATTTTTCTAAATGTTTGGTAAATTTTTGGGAATTTTTGCCAAAATTTACTGAGAACAAAAAAAAATTCTTCCATAGTGGTGAAACTTCGTGAGATATTGAATAATAATAACACATAAAAACGGTATGATTTTCACCTCAATTTTATGAACTGCTTCTCAGAAATTTATAACAAATTTGTAAAGTTAGGAGATATCACGAATAATTTCTTAAATGTCCTCGAAACTACTGAAAAATTTCCCCGTTAGTACTGGACAAAATTCAGCACATGGTAGTAGAAAATTTGTTATTCTATTATTTAATTGCAATAATAATTGTTTATTACTTTCTACTTAATTTTTAAATTATTTACTGTATAATTTTATATTTTCCACTTTCTCTTGATAATTGCAGAACTGAAAAAAATTATGTCAATGCTAGGATTCGGGAACTGTTCAGTTTTTTGATTCAGTAATGAACCTTTATTTATTATAATAATCTCAAGCTATTTTACTGCATCGTAGCTAAGTCATAACCCCCTGTTCCTTAGCACAATCACTTCAATTACTCTTCACGGCAATACATTACATTTTTTTTCCTACCTGGAAACTTCCCTAATATCACTGTCACTGTTTTTTTTTCATTTCAACTAACAATTATTATCAATTTTTCCCCGACTTTTTTCTCCGTGGGAGGAGGGGATTGAGATATCGGAGATGTCTACAAAACCCGTTCAAGGTTATCCTGCGATATAATGATCTTAAATCTCGTCCAGACACTTCGAATTAGAATTTATTCGAAATTCCGTAGTCTGCGAACCCGAGAGCCGGGTGAAACCACCAGTGTCAGTGTAGAACATATTTTTACTGAAATTTATTCCGTTTCTATATTCCACGCAAATAACTTTTAGTTTTTAAACTCATGTTATGTATTCCAGATTACTTACCGTGGCATCAGGACCTCTCCTCGAGGACCTAGATCTCCTTAACACTCTGCAGTCAGCAAAAGTAACTTCCGTTGCTGTTGAAGAGTCTCTGATTACTTCTGTGAAAACGGAGCAGGAAATTGACAAAGCGAGGGCAGCATACAGAACTTGTTCACAACGTGCGGCTACTCTATTTTTCGTTTTAAAGGACATGAGTCACGTCGATCCAATGTATCAATTTTCTTTAGATTCTTATATTGTTCTGTTCAAAATATCTATCGACAAAAGCCCGAAGAGAGACAATCCTAACGAAAGAAACGATATCTTAAATGACTACCACACATACGCAGTATACCAGTAACGCAATTATTTTTCAGTACCTGCATAAAACATGAGCGTTGAATGAAAAAATATTTTTTTTATGGACAAAATTTTGGTCAATTTGATTATAAAATTGAATGTCAATGTAGGAAACACTTCCTAAGTCTTTGAAAGAATATTCTTTCAAAGTTCAACGCAATTCATCGTCTGTAATTATTGAGTTTACAAAAATTTCAGAAATACGTGTCGGGGATTATTCGAAAAAGATAAACTGCTTTTCTCTTTCAACATGTGTTGGAAAATCCTCGAAGCGCGAGGGGAAACGATCCCGCTAGAATACGATTTCCTTCTGAAAGGTGGAACAGCACTGGAACGTGAAAATCAGCCGGACAAACCCGTCAACTGGGTGACACGTGAAACCTGGGACAATCTCACAGAACTTGATAAACTTTCCGGCTTTCATGGAGTTGCTGCGTCTTTCGAACAGCTCTCAAGAGATTGGTACAATTGGTATGTTATTAGAATTTTTTCTATCTGGTACAGATAAATTTTATTTCATCATATCAAGACGACAGCAGAGACAAATTGAGTCATATCAAACAAATTTGCATGATCCTACTGAATGCAAAATTTTTCCACACAAAATCCTCGTGGAAATCGTCGCCTCAACCAAATTTGTTTGGCATAACTTAATTTTTCACTCGGTGAAATATTTGAAATATTTTCTAAAGAAAAATGCAAAATCAATGTAGGTACATAAATACGGAACCAGAAACGAAATCGTTGCCAGGAGAATGGGAAGCCAATCTCAATGAATTTCAAAAGATGCTCGTTATCCGTAGCTGTAGATTGGATCGGATGACAGTTTGCATTACCTCATTTGTTATGCACAATCTCGGTGAAAGATTTGTTGAACCACCTGTATTAGATATAAGAGCAGCCTTTAAGGATTCAATTCCCGAGACACCACTTATATTTATTCTTTCATCGGGAGTCGATCCTTCCAGTCCCCTACTACAATTGGCGGAAAGTCTGGGTATGAGTCATAAGTTTATGACACTATCACTAGGGCAAGGGCAATCACCGATAGCGAGGGGATTGATACAAAAGGGTGCTAAAGAAGGAGCCTGGATCTTTCTCACAAATTGTCATCTCTCTCTCAGTTGGATGCCTGAATTGGAAAAAATTATTGAAGGACTTGCCGATGATAAAGCTACACATCCAGAATTTAGGTATATCAATAATATCGATATGGAATGAGTTTTTCTTCTTTAAAATGGGGCTTGTTGACACAATTGCAATATTAACTCTAGACTATGGTTGAGTTCGAGCCCATCGCGAGAATTTCCCATATCGATCCTTCAAGCAAGCGTGAAAATGACTACGGAACCGCCAAAGGGATTGAAATCTAACATGAAACTTCTCTATGGATCAATCACAGAGGACCAGTTTAACGTCTGTAAGGCTGCAATGAAATATAAGAAACTTCTTTTTACCCTCGTCTTCTTTCACTCAATATTACTCGAACGCAGAAAGTTTCAGCAACTAGGCTGGAACATTATTTATAATTTCAACAACTCAGACTTCGAAGTAAGTTACACTAAATAAACTATGCGAATAACAAAATGTTCCATTCTGCAATAGCATCTATTAATGCAGGTCTCTGAAAAATTACTCCGAATATATCTTGATGAATATCCAGAGACACCTTGGGATTCTTTAAAATATCTAATCGCCGGGGTGTGCTATGGTGGTCACATTACCGATGACTGGGATCGTCGCTTACTGATGACATATGTCCAACAGTATTTCACAGAGGATGCAATTTTCTTACCTCACTACCGTCTGTCATCCCTCCCCACATACTACGTACCTAAAGACGGTTCATTTCAATCATATTTTGATTTTATAACAATGCTTCCAAATACGGATGAACCCGAAGCCTTTGGGCAACATATCAATGCTGACATCACTTCTTCAATTCTTGAAGCGCAATCTCTCTTCAATACTCTCATGAGTATGAGCTTACAAACGCAAGTTGCTTCTTCAGAAAAGAGCACTAAAGAAGATACGGTTATACAAGTAGTGATTAATATGAAGGGTAGACTCCCGGAAGGAATAAATTATGAAAATACAAAAAAATTGATAGGTTCAAGAAAGAAACCGTTGGATGTGGTACTCCTTCAAGAAATTTCTCGATATAATAACTTACTCATGAGAACAAAATCAAGCTTGAATGATCTTGAACGTGGTATTAAAGGGCTTGTTGTGATGTCCGAAGCCCTTGAGGAGATATTCATGTATGTTTATGACGGCCGCGTGCCTCCTGCCTGGTTAACCAGCTATCCATCGTTGAAACCACTCGGATCGTGGACGTGTGATCTCGTCAGCCGAATCGAACACTTTGCCAAATGGGCGGAAACCACTCATCCGCCTTTACTCTTTTGGCTTGGGGCCTACACCTTTCCAACTAGTTTTCTAACCGCTGTACTGCAAACATCAGCGAGACTGTGGAACATATCTATTGATTCGTTTTCCTGGAGCTTTGCTGTTCTAGATGAAAATGCTATTGCCAATAGTCCTGCCGTATGTATTGCTTTTACGTTCTTTTTCGTCTATCTTTTCTATTTTATAATGTTTACTTTCAAAAATAAACTGAATATCCAGAGAAATGTTTTATCTAAATTAAATCAATAGCTATCTTCTTTCCGCTCTTAAGGTTGTTAAGTTTCGACAGTTTTCGTTAAAAATTTGATGGTGAATAGTTTGAAAAATTAGCAACAAAATGAGCCTTTTCCGTTTGCAATTGACCGTTTTGAACTTGAGATATAAATTTTTGAAATTCGAGTGATTTAACACGTGTTTAAATGGAGTTTTGCCGATTAGAATTTTTTAAAAATCAACGGCTCGACAGTTTCAGAAATAAAAAAAAACGTGGAATATACATCGTGGGAGGAAATACAGAAAAAAAAATCAAATCGATTGACCGTTTGGTTTACGGAATATAATTATCGGAAATTCATAAATTTATATAATTGAAAATAGTTAATATGGAAAATATATAGTTATGTTTTAGCTATCCATGCACAATGCAATCAATCAAGTGAGACTATATACCGCTAAAAGATTGTGTTCTCAACTGGCCCGTTTTACAGCGGATAAACTTTTTACAGAGACTGTCGCGCGACAACAACCTTAAGAAAAGTTTTGAGTATCATTCGCGCATATGTGAACCTCAGTACACTCGTCATCTCTTTCTAAGAGGATAATCACAAGTATTGTACGATCAAAATCATCTCCGTTCACTGTAGCATGCAATTTATGAAATGGTTAATAGTTTATCGTGACCCTTCTTAAAGTTCACGGGAGTTTTTTCTACAGAGAGAGAAAATTTACAAAAGGAGATTTTTCGTCCTATCGTACTTTGATTACTTACTTTTCTACTGTCTTGTTTAACTTACTATGTGGAAAGTAACATTTTACGCACGCTCCACGTCCGTAAACCGTCACGTCCCACACACTGTGATGAATAATTTAGTTTGATACTCGCGGGAAAGTGTTTTTTTTACTGATAAGATTATATCACTCGTCGTTGACTTCTGCTATAGACTTCCCACAAACTCAAAAACCCTTGCCCATTGGAATTGTTATTTTCAGACCTAGTAGTGGAAAACAGATCATGCCTCCTTACATGCAAGATTTACATTGATGGCAAGCATATGGGGGAGGATGACATGTTTTTCACGACGTGGCTTTAACAAAATTTTTCCAGAACCTGGGCTTAAAAAAGGGGATGTTCGGGATATGATGCTCATATAACCCAGTATCAATCGCAATGACCTTATTTACACGGGTCATTGTACTAGTTATCAACTTCGTTTCAGCCATGATTTATACCAAAAATGAATGAAATTTTTTTGAGTAGACTTCGTATGACGTACTTCGGTCGACTTTTTCTGTAACCCAGAAGCACGAATGACACTATATGACAAAGGGAAAATCGTAATAGCAAATCAGATGAAGGAAATTTTCTCATATAGCTTTTATATGATGTACTTTGATCGAGTATTTCTGGAGCCTAGAAGTCTATTCGAGATGGAATTACATCCCATGATGGATGAAGAATTACTATAGCAACAATGCCTCTCTCGATTTGGACGAATCATTTTTTGGAATGGCATCTCAAACGCCGAGAAAGAGTGCCTAGCGGATTTTGAGTGGCGGGACATATTATGAGACGACACACATTCGCGGGCGATTTAATGCAGTAGCGAAACGATTCACTCGAGTGAAAGTCTATCGATTATTGAGAATTTTCGTATGAACAGAGAAAAAAACTTGAATCACGTATACTTTATACTTGATGTAAGTCTATTTTATACTCAATTTTAGTGTATTCCATTTGCAATGGCAATATCGACGAAAAATTGATTTTCCCGTGATTCTAACATCTGTTAGGAATACTCTAAGTAACACGAAATCGTTCATCTTCAATGAGTACACTCAGCGTTCCATGAATAACTTAGAAATTTTGAATATTTCGAGATTGTAAATAATCCCAAGGTGCCCAAGATGATTTTTAATAATGTCCTGCTGAATTGTTACCTCTCACTACATCCCTGATATCGTTGTAAATGTCTCCACATTTTTTGTGGGCATATCAAAAGCAGAGTAAAGTGCATAGTTAAACTGATTAAAATACTGTATTTTGGTGGAAAAACATAAATCTTTAATAATTCGAAAGATAAGAATATTGATGAGCTCCTCCCGGAAAATAGAATGGAAGAAGGTATGAGTGTTCATGGACCAAGTCCGATTCAATTTGAACCAGGTACGTTCAGAGGACTTATTGAAAGTAAGCAATTGTCTATTATTCAGGGAATTCATAATAGATATGGGGCTCATAAAAAATTGAATTTTTCTTACTTGGCCCGGCCTAACCTCCTTCTTTTAAGACCTAGGCCTGTTCAGAACTCGGTTAGTTGGGCCCCGTGGCGAAAAAACAATGTATGCCATATGGCTTGGAAAACATTTTCCTAACAAATTCAATTAATAACAAAAACGCATGCCTTCAGTGCGCATTATGATTAAATTCGTTAGCAGAATACTTGGTAAATTTGGAGAACAGGCCCCCCAAGAAATTTAATACCGAAAGTCGACTAATCCTCATGTTTACATGAAGTATTAGACAACAACGGGTCAGGGATTACAGCAGACGCGATTTAAAATATAAAAATGAGCCAGTACGTTTGGGATTGCCGACAAATAAATATAAAACTCAATGCGATCTATGAAATAAGTGAAAAGTACGGAGAGCTCGTGGATTTCTTACGTGGTCGCTAGGTATACTGTTTGAGATACTTATAGGACACATGAAGTGTCCTATAAGTGCAGTGGTATTATGATGGCCAACGATTCAAGGGGCATGTTCAGGTGCCGACACAACACAGAAAAATGGCAGCCATAACAAAGGAGGTGGTGTCAAATATGACACAGAATATAGCTACCTACACGAAGCCTGGTTCTATTTTATTATAGACACATTCCCTTGGCCACAGCTGTGCTATTCGTCGGGATCTACCTCCTAATGAATCCTTCAAGACAAGAATTCCTAGCATTCGAACTTGGACTATCACAAAAAACTGTGGTGGACTGGTCCAACTTTTTTAGAAAATTATTGATTGACTCATGCGAAAATCACACTACCACGTTGGGAGGGCCCAACAAAATAGTGGAAATAGACGAAACCAAAGTTGGCCGTAGGAAGTTCAACCGAGGGCACATTATTGAGGGGCAATGGCTATTCGGTGCGTATGAGAGAGAGACAAAATCTATTCTCATTAACACAATAAAAGATAGGAACGCAGGATCACTTATGGCAACTATCAAAAAGTAGATTTTGCTAGGAACAACCGTCATCACGGATCAGTGGAGATTATATGCCAAACTTAATGACGAAGGATAACAACACTTCACCTTAAACCCTTCTATGAATTTTGTGGGCCCGAGAGCCAATGTCCATACACAAAACATTGAAAACACCTGGAGAGACCTGAAAAGCCAAGTACAGAGGTACGGCACGACGAAAGAGCGCTACCACGGATACTTATGCGAATTCATGTTTAAGAGAAGCGTCCCATTTGAGGAGAGAATGGTACAGCTTCTTACAACTATGGCAAGACATTACACCTGAAATCCTGATAAACCATACCCAAAGGCGACCCATCCATTGGGAGATTCATGAGCGTTTTTCAGACGGGCACTCGATATAATTCAAATTAGAAATTTAATTATAGAATTTGCTGTAAGAAGGACAGCGGTGGCGTCATGCCGATACCGAGTGCCAGCGCCAACAAATAATAAAGGGAGTCAAGTGCCCCCCACGGTGGTTGTGTCGCTGCTGAGTGAGTAAATAATGCTATTCCTCTTTGTGTTGCCCTGGTCTCTAAATATACCAACATGTGTTGTCATGGGGCCGAAAACCGCTATGTCCTCGTCGTGGCCCTGAGTAGCGCAAAGAGAGGTGTATAAATTATAACGTATGGAGAAACTATTCGTCTCCCCAACATACGGATATCAGATTCGTGATCAGGAGATGAAAAACTATCGACTCTGATGTAATTCAATATAAAGTTCCGAGAGGAGAGAGTAATATATATTTACCTAATGCATAAACTATACTTAAAATAACGTAAAAAAATTGTCTTTATTGATTCCACATGCGTATCTTTTCGGGTTTTCCCATTTTGTTCCCATCGAGGCCCGACCGGGAAAGCTCGTGGGAATAAAACCTTGGCCAGGTACAGTCATTCTTCTTGAGACTACTGCTCGAACCATGAAACCGTGTAAATTACAAGCGACACTAAATTATAAATTGCTCTGGGATGAAAATATAATATTAAAAATTCCTAACGAGGCACTGAAATTCGGGAAGTCGAGTGAAGATATATAGTTAATGTAAGGGACGGTCTGAACAAAGGGAAAGAGGGGGGTAGAAAATGGACCTCAGATTCAAGTAAGATTACATGTATTTTCCATGTCTTAATACAACTGATACACACAAATAATATTCTCTTGCCTTTATTTATAAACTAGTTGCAACAATGCGGCATAACCAGATTAAGGTGCATTCCGAAGCTCATCCACGTCCATCTGAAGGGAGGTAAATGGTAAGCCAGTGTCCTCCTTCCTGGTTATGATTATCGGTGTTGACGATAATGGCAAGGGTTCTTTCCATAAATAGGGAACACTCGGTATGTGGTAGCCCCTCGAAGAGCTCAAAGGTATTCATAAAAAGACAGCACGCACGGGGTGAATAATCCGGTTTTGGGGCCGAGGTAGGACACATTTATGGTGTGGCACTTTGACCGCTAGTGTACATAATTAAATAGACTCTGTTGCTCGTCATCCGCTATAATCGAGAATAACTTACCTCGCGGAGTCGATATCAAGAAAATTATCGTATTCTGCCTATAGCAAGCAGTTTTATTCTGTTACTTTATCAAGCCATACTTCAACGCGAACACTCCCACTCCTGACGAGATTCTAATGATCGGCAGATAAATCGGGAGTTAGCTC